GGGGGGGGGGGGGGCGTGGTAAGGGTGAGACCCAAGTTACCTTATTAGCATATATGATGCCAATAGTTATGCATTGCAAAATACATAATATGGCAGAGGGAAATTTTTATGGGTACATTTTTTAACTCATCACTTCAGAAAGCCATTTCTCCATGTGAAAAGTTAGGCTGGTAATTTCACATTTAAAAAAATAATTCATTAATTTAGACATTAAGTGACTCCTTAACAATTCTGAGAATGTTACTTTAATACTAAGCAGAGGTTGCATGTAATTGCAAATAATTGCAAAACTCTAAGATTTTGAGACCCAAAATCAATCTTGAAACTAACCGAAGCCTTTAATATTTCAGATGTATTTTGTTTGTTGTTATACACTTAAAAGTAAAATTCACGTGTAGCTCCAGTAACTTCAAGAAAATTAAAGAGGATTTTATCTGAGTCTGTAATGGTACACATAATTTCTAACACTTACTATTTTATGGTAAGAAGGACACTGTACAGAATTTGCTTGTAGAGACCTTTCATCCTTTCTGCATCCATCTGCATGCTCTTTAGCCTCTGTGATTAAATGCATGCTGATTTGCAAGGTGTAATCAGCTGAAAAGTTATGGCATGAAAGTATTTCAAAGAAAGACCTATGTCTAAGTTCTGCTCTCTTACCCAACCAGAGAAAAAAAAATTACACATCAAATGTGCAGAATAGCAGAATATAACCCGGATATTTGAAACTGCAGATTTTCATATATGATAATCCAGTGTATTTAAACCAAGAAAAGTAGTATTTTCCCTGAGTAAGAGAAACCTGACTTGAACTTTTGGACTCAACATCATCAAGAGTCTCTGGACCACACAGGCACTGCACATACAGAACACTGCCTTCTGAAAAACTATCTGGTCAGTTAGTATGGAAAACATGCCAACTAGTGTCAAATAGGAACATACCTTTAACTCCGACAGGTTACCAAACACATTTCTTGAGAAGCTCATGGAACAGAAATAATGGAACAATACTTTTCATTGTTTTACTGTAATTATTTTAGTACTTTTCATTGATATTCTAATGCTAGTGACTGTAGAAATCAAATTTGCAGGCAAATATTGAAAACAGAAGAATAATTTACCATTACCGCATTACTCTGAATTAAATACCCATTTCTTACAAATCCCTTGAAAACTAAAGAAAAGAGCTGAATATGTGGAAAACATTAAATTATTATATTAAATGAAATTCAGCTAGCAGACATAAAATTAACATAAATGGATTTAGTGTTATTTGCAAAATACAGCTGGGCAAGTGTTAGAAAGCGTTCCGTTGTTTACACATGCTTATTTTGATGGTATTTTCATATCATTTGTGTTTGCCTTTTGGCATCATATTTACATGATTGACTTGTACTATCAAAAATGCAAGAAGCAAGTTTAATTTATTTTAGAAATGATAATCAAGAGATGGGAGACAGACATCAGACTGTGACTAATGAGAATGGGGATATTACAAAAAGATGTCCCTATAAGTATCTATTGAAGTAAAGAAAAATTAAAGCATGAATCTGGAGAATATCTGCTTCTCTTTTGTATGCCACCCTGAGTGAACACATACACACACTACAGAGTATAAATCAAATTTGTAAATGATTAATCTACAAAAACTAATTAGAAGACAAACCCAACCAGGAAGAAAATGAACAAAAGGATCTTTTCAAATAGATTCCCTAGCTGAAAAGCAGCTTACCTAAACAAACTGTTCCTAAACAACTCATGGCCTATGACCCCTTTTCTATGAGAATTCATGTTCGGATTTCAAAGACTGCAGCAATTAAAGCTGAAAGCCTTCCCTGTGAATTTTGCTAAATTAACCACTGCAGAATATGAAATAACAAGTGGGCATACCGTATACTTTGTAGTGAAAGCCATTAAAGTGTCATATATTAATTTTCAACTAAATAAATACAAGATAATCAGAAAAGTTAATCCAAGGGAGAAATAGAAGTCTGCTCTTTAGTATTCTTCTGTTACTTCTACTACAGTGCTGACAGCACAGTACTAGCCTACAGTACAGTCACAGGATCCAATCTGCACTGACTTGGGGTCTCACATAAATTAACACCTATTTCTCTAGTTTTTCAGAACAATATTAGGAGTTCAAGGCAAAGAGGACAACCCAAAGAGCACTATGGGTCATAGAACCAGCTTACCCAGTGGTTCACAGCTCTGGTCTGTGAACTGGACGTATACTGTTGTTTGACTATGTACACTATGTATACTCACACTGGTAAGCACAAGTGACTCTACTGGAGTTGTAACAGAGCACACTCAGGTAAAAATCCAAGATCTCTCTCTTCCCTTGCCCTAGATATACTAGAGCTTGCTGACAATTACTGCTCCTGTTTCACTGCACTTCCTTTGACAGTTACTGAGGCAGCTCCAACTTTCATTCCTCTGAAGGCTAAGAGGCCCCATACATTCTTTTTAATAAATGTTAACCCATTTAAGCAGGAAGTTTTTTGTTGCTGAGTGATGGCAGTTGACTGCAATGTGAGTTAAGCCTCGAGGCCTGAGGTCATGACACTAAGAAAACAAATGTCAATTACTGACTACCAGAATCAAAAAATGAAAAGGAATTGCCAAAATATGCACTGAACAGTAGAACACTAATGGAAAACTGGAGCATGGCAAACACACTCCCCTCCTCTAGGTAACAGTCTCCTAGATTTCTTTGAGTAGAAAAGACACTGTACATGCACAATCCCTCTTAGCTTGATTTTAGTTTACAACATAAGGCAGGGCTTTGTCCATAAAAACCACGCAGAGTTTATATGCATTACAAAGCAGTCGTACATAAAAAGCACTACATACAAGTAAACTGGGTGCACAGAGTAGCTGCACTGTTAGCTTTTAAAATTCTTAGTGACCAAAATTTTAACATTTAAGAAATATATTAAAAAAAAAAAAGAAAAAAAGAAAAACCAGAAATGCAAACCATGATTTTGCCTTGCTTTTACAATCGAAGGGACACAGTATGGGTGTCTGGATGAACAGCTGCAATCATTGTTCTTGGGGTATTAGAAAAGACCCTGGAAGACAATGAGGTATTTGCTAACAAAGAGAGAGGACTCTCAGCAGAGGTGGGGGAAGAGAAGACTACATTACAGGTGAATGGTAAAATGGCACGACTATTGGGATATTTTACAGAGATAAGGAAGGGAAACACTATAATCTTCATAAGATAATCATCCAGTGAAGAGGGCTGACAGGCAGTCCAGCCTCAGATGGCATTTCTTAACTCATAGCAGAACCAGAAGAGTGGTGTGACTTTGATGTAACAGATACAGAAAGGTAGATCTCTCCCTGGATTTGTGTCATGTTCTAGTCTAGTCCAAGAGTTACTTCTCTTCATTGTGGTTTCAGGGGAGGTACAAGACAGAATTTGATCCCTGAGAGGGTCTCCCCACCTTGTTTTCTACTAAGTAGAGTCTGAATAAGAGTTGTGCATTTCACTATCCTATGCTCCAAAAAGATAAACATATTCCCAGCCTGGAGGCCATCACAAACAAGTTCAAGCTAAAGAGCTTGCAGAGATTATTTCCCTTAATAATATATATCCAAGACACAACAGCATTAACTAGGTGGAATATTCTCTTGAGGAGCTTGAGAAACAATAGCAATTTGCATCTAACAACACATCAATATGCTAAACTGCACCTAGGTGACAACATGAAATCAATATCCCCTTGGAATGCTATCCTCTTTTCCTATGTAATTTGTGAAAAACTCATGCCAGACTGAGCTTCCTTAGCAAAATGACCACTGAGAAATTAGGTCAAGTCAGCTTGACATTAGAGATAAAACATTGCAGGAGTCAATGAAGTGAGCTGGAGTCATTAGCAGCAGTGAACTTAACTCCTATCAAATATGCTCTATAATGTTCAATAGCCCATATAATTGTGGCACATCTCTCTACTGCAAAGAATTTCATTTTTGATCAGGGAGAAATTCCACAGCAGAAAAAAAAAAAAAAAACAGAAACCAGGAATACTGTTTACACTTAACGTTTGCTTACTGCATTTTTATCAGATGAAAACAATGAAGAGTATAACTTCGAATATATATATATATCCTTCTCTGTCACACAGACAATAAGCAAAACTTATATACAAAATTTATTGCATGAATGAAATCTGTTTTCTATTTACAAAGAGCTTATAAAGAGCTTGCAATTTTGTCAAATGCTATTATTTAGATTGACTAGCTAAATAATCTATGAGAAGGGGTTAAATCTTTGTTGAATGGTCTGAGTCTGCTATTGAAGCAAGTGCCAGCTGAGAGTCCTGTCTGGCTGAATGCAACACCTAGAATCAGCTTACTGAAGCACAGAACTGGCTTAAAATCCAGACCTTCAGACGTTGT